GATGGCACTAACATCTTTATCGGTGAAATGGGTTTTGTCCTTCCCCTGTTCCGGCGTCAGATGCAGGATGGTCTCTTCCTTCGAGTGTGATTTCAGCACGTATCTGTAATCCGAGGTTACAGTTTAAAATGCATCCATTGATATCCATAAATATCCCACTGATATCGAATCATCGAGGGTTCGATTACCACGCGGCAGTTATATTTGTGTGTCCCACAAATAATCAAGCACAAATAAATAAATCTTTAGGACACATTTTTACGCAATGTCACAAACTGAGCAACGCTTGAACTATGGGTACTAGATCACTGATAAAGATACTTAAACACATATAACAGCCAGACACTAGAAAAAACGCTGTGTTCATCACACAACATTTTTCCAGTAGTGGGGATCGAACCCACACCCTAAGGCGCAGGAGGCCGGACACTACCCACTACGCCGTTCGGGTCGTCAAAGCGGTCAGTTCACCTGATGTCGACATTTGCAACACCAGAGCGGCCGTAGGTACTTGCTAACTTACATGAAAGTGGGTCATCTCAATCACCACGCCGCTCTCCTGCGAGGCCGAGACCCTTCCCCAGATGAACTTGCTTACGCGTGCAACAGCAATAGCTGTTGGTGGCCCGACCGCAGAATGCACACATTTTCTGTATCTTTACTTACGGATTGAAGTAGTTAGTATTACAAAATGGACAATCAATTTTTCGCTGCTGCGGGAATCGAAACAGCGCCCTTCAGATTCGCGCCCAGAATTTCAACCACCAAGCTGTACGGCTGATTGCCACACCGACGGGAATCTCAACGTATTTCGTCCACATTCTCCGTCTACGATTCTGTGGCGCAGTTGCCACAGTACTGGCTTGGGCACCGAGGGCCGAGGTTTCGATTCTCACACGGTACAACTATTTGTGTGAACCACAGATAATTGTTCCGCATCTGGACGAGACATGTCCGCGAGAAATTGATATTTGTGAAACATCCTGTAAGGACACAGGCCAATGTTATTCAAAAGTAAGAGCAATGTTTATAGTATTATTAAAGTTATCGCTTACCTCTGAATGTCGAGGTTCTCCCAGCAGATAAGGGTCTCAACGGCGCCGAGTTCCAGGGCGCGCAAGGTATCGTCCACGCCGAAACAGAATTTACCGGTGTCCTAGATGGGAAAGTCTATCAATGACATTCAATATACAGTCAACTGACAAGAACTAAATTTTTAAATGGTATGTGCATTGCCACCCTTTAAAAGAGTAGCCCCGTGATTGTAGCCTCGCTCAACAGAAGAAACGAAAAAGCAACGGCAAAAAACGCTGCAACATTGAGTTGTACCATTTTCATGTTGGCAACTTCAGTCAGATAACATTTATTATAGTTTTTTAGTTATTATTTCGAAATTATGCAGGTTTCCTCAAGATGCTTTCCTTCACGGCGGAGCACGTGATAAGTCAGCACTTAAAGTTAAAAATATCATTGGTGGCGGCACCGGGGATAACTCAGGTTGCTCGAGAATATTGAATTAAAGGCGAGCGCCCGGACACTGAGCTATCACGGCTCAGTAAAGACTGTAAACTACCCAGAAACTTGTGTAAACTGCAATAGATGCGACAACAGTACCTGTGCGATCTCTTCGAAGTAGCGGCCAATTAGCTTCTTCTCTTGTATGAACTTGACGTTCTGCAATGGTTCGGATGCAAGCTCTATGGCCTGATTAAAGCCATTGTCCCCACCGTAGGATACGTCCACCAGCTTGATGATTTTCGATTGGAGGCGCTGAAATAATGAATTGATTATTACAATATCAAAAAAAGAAATCGGCCAAATTATAAAACATTTTTTCTCTCTTTGTGTGATTCTCATTCTAAACGTCGAGTTGAGTCTCCAGCCAGACAAGTTAATTCTTAGTCCATGTGAGCTGAGCGGAGGCATGTCTGCGGACATATCTAATGTATATGCAAAACATGAATGGTACACAACAGTTCAGTAGAATACAGATCGGATTCCATTCAATCATTATCATTACACCTTGTATTATATTTATTTCTTTGGTGGTGTGGCTGTTAAAAGTACAGTGTAACTTGCCCTCATCGACTATTGTGTTGGTTAAATGAATAAATGGACAAAGAACAGTACTAACGGGGTCAAACATGTCGGATTGAGACAGCTCAGTCTTGAAATCTGCTGATCCGGCAAGGATTATGCCAGCCACATTTGGTTTATCGGAACTGATAAACAGTTGCGTGGCCACCTCGGCCACTTTTCGTACGTAGTTATGGCGCTTCTCCATTCTAAGGCGGGCGAAACGAAGTGCTGACTGCCCACCCCTGCCATGCTTCTTTGGTAAATCAACACTGAATTTGTGAAGGACCTGCAATACATACCAAACATGAATATTCTTTCATTTATTCAAAAAGATACACAATGAAATCATTGTACAATTGTATTAAGAGTTAATCAGATACTCTACTTTTAAAAAATTTATTCATAAAACAATGTATCTAAGCAATAAAATTATGATTTATTAAAACTACTATATTCAATGCACATAAACCTATGTAATATGCATCATATTGTCAATTATATTTTTTTTTAATTCGTATTTTATTTATTCGAATTTTTGTGGCGAAAAACATTTTATCCATTTTTTTATACATTCTAAATTTCATGTTAATTGCAAAGAATAGAATTATAGGAATTAATATCATAAAAATTTTTGTCTTTAACACTTAATTGTTCTTCATGATATAAACTGTTGTTGACGTCACCTGCTTAGCATTTCCTTGCAGGGTGCCAAACAGGGCTCCGTTACCATCCATCACGATGAAAGCGAACTTGTTGTCATCGGCCAAAAGAGCTGTGAGGGCCTCTGTGTGGAACTTGTTATCGCACAAATACAGTGAGGTGTTGATTGGCTTGAAGGGCTCAAAATCAATGTTCACCTTCTTCTCTTTGCCCTCATCGGTGACGATGGTGCCGCAGTAAATCACCAAGCCATTCGGCGGAACGTACTATAGTAGAAGTAGAATATGTATTGAGATAAAGTCGTTTATTTTTTCCATTACTCATCTCATATTTCATTATTTAAATTTGTTCTTGGCCATTCTGCCAGAGTGATGTCATTAAAAAATCATTCTTTGAAACGATTTTCCAAAACAGTCTTACTAGGACAACTAATATGTAGACTATACAAATACATCTACATTATAGGAATTAAACCCTATTAACCTCAAATTTCATGTACAATGATTATGGGAAATAGCAGAGACTTTATGATTTAATAAGAGCAGAGTTCACATCTGTAGCATGTAAAATTTAATTAATAAAATCAGACCATAGGTTTTCTTAAAGAAAAAATCACATGGCCGAATAAACAACTGTAGGGACTAACCTTTAGTGTAGAGTTTAAGCCGGTGCTGTACTGAGGTGATTGCCCCAAGTACAGACAAACGATTAACACGTGACTTGATATTCGAGGCCGTACCAAACTCGTCTGCCAGCATCTTGGATACCCGCGATACCTGATCCTTGGGCGGTATGATCAGGGATATCATTGATGTTCCATTTCTGCAAATTAAAATTAAGATAGTGTGGGAAAGCACTTAAAGATCAGTAAACAATGCCTATAAGAATCTTTTTGTTGACAGTAAATTTTATATTTATAGTTATTTAGCTGATTTATTTTTAGATTTCTCAAGAGTTTTATTAATAAAATGAATGTCTCCTATAAGAACTGTAAATTGCTCAAGGGAAAGAAGCTCAAAACAAAAGGGTCGTTTGGTCTGAGAATTTTATTAGTAACACATCAGACATAAAAGGTACTACAAAACTAGCTAAAACAGAGAATAAAACTTCATCATAGAAGTCAACTATTAGCTATTAGATGGCTTTTTAAATTTTATTTGAATTGCTAAAAGGTTTGTTTAACTCTCTGAATTGATCACAAAGATCAGATCAGTGTTTCAGAAACTGGGCGTTAGACTAGTGTGGCTATTTCTCGATTTAGTTAGTAAAACAGAAATTAAAGGCATTTATTTTTTATTTTATTCACATACTTTTTTCCTGCAAATGCCTTCAGTTTGAATCTTATAAATGATGTCTTTGGAATACACTGTGCAACTTTCAAGGAAAACATGAAAGAGGATTGCTGATCATAGAGAACCATCAGAACCATCATTAGTTTCCAAAATAATGTCTGGTAAATATGACAAATATGCTGACGGTAATAAAAAAAAGACACGAAATCAAAATATTGCTGTTCTAAATGTAAAAATTTCAAAATGTGAAATATGTACGGAACATGCGATTTTATATGTGGATATTGTGCCGATTTGTAGGTGTATCTTTTATTTAACATAATCTGATAAGACTTAACTGTTCCTTTTTAGTTATAATAATAAGAAGTGAGAACTGTGTTACATTTTAATGTGAAAAAAATAAGCTGAATTATTTTTGACCCTATATTTTTTCTAATAACATTTTGACAAATTGATATTGAAATAAAAATAACGCTTTTTGTATTTGATACTGGTATTTTATTCAATTTCACTCTGATATAGCATTTTGGCAGTACACAAATGTGCATGCGTGTTTGAAATTTTAATTATTTCTTATTTAACTATTTATTAAAAATAAATACAAGCTCGAAAAACGCATAGGATTAGATTCAGTATTAATGATAGTGCATAGGTTTGTAAATAATTACCTTATTTTTTTCTCTGAATACTCAAATTAACCTTATTGATTAATTCATTTCTGATTTTTCTCTTTCATTAAAATTATATTTAATTGCAATTTATTCAAAGTTGCAATGCTGGATAATCTGGATAATAACAATACCTTTCAGACAGAATCTTTTTTTAAAACTTATCAATGCTGAACACACTCCTATTCCCAGACTACATGCTCTTTTTGGACATATTCCTTCAGGGAAAATCTGGATCCATAAAGATTCTCCCTTATTTAAAAACTTTATTAACTCTTTTTCATCTTACAAACCCTTTTTACCTTTCAATCTAAATCTAATCCCCTATTCGAATTCTCCTATGACACATTTTGCAATCTAACATTTATCATAATCTCAATATTGAAAAAGAATTAATAACTGAAAATGAATTACAAGAAATTATTAATAACTTGGAAAAACTGGAATATTGTTTATACAGAAGCATCTAAAATTTTGGATGAAGGTTGTACTGGGGCATCACCCTGGTTCCCCGGGTATAAAATAATTTTGAATTTTAAATGCCCCTTTATTCCCTATTTTATTGGGGAGGCTACTGCTATTTATAAAGCTCTACTATATGTTAAATGTCACAATCTCATTAATTCAGTCATTTTGACTCACTCTAATAGTTGCTTGAAAGCTAATGGGTCTTTTATTATGAAATTACCTTTCTTCAGTACTCACCATTTCAAACAAAAAGAAAAGTTTCAATTGGTTGTGAATTCTAAATTCAAATAAATTTTGTTTTAAAAACATGAATTTCTTTTTACAAAGTCAGTCTTTTGTTTATTGATTAGCTTCATATTTCCATTACATTTGAACATTTTTAGTCATAATGGATACCTTTTTTAAAAATTCGTGTAATTATGGATTATGACTTCCGTCATGGCACCAACGCTGCACAAACAGCATGTTACGTCATTTACAGAGAGAACTTTACAAACGCACAAACGTCATTGATTCCGTTGTTGAGAAATGTTGACTTTGATGAAATAAAGACGATTGTGGAAGCTGATGATAATCTTTAGCTGGGCTAGCAGCAGCAGGTTGAAAGCTCTCACTCATCCGCCACCACCACTCACCAGACCTTGCACCTACTGACTAATACTTTATTCAAAAATTTGGACAAGTTTTTAGTGGAAAAAAAATTCAATTCGTGTTCCCGTCCAGCTAATTTTTACAAGGGCATCAATAAATATAAAAATTTCAAAGGTATTTCAAAGGCCTAATATTATTTCTAACCAAATTTGAATCTAAGTATAAATCCAAATCCGCCAAATCTAAACTGTATTAAACAAATGTTTTGTAAAAGAAATCAATATGTCTTTGGCACTGCCACCAAGCACTGTAAACATTGTAATGTAGAAGCTGATTTATGGGCAAGGGATATTATTTTGAATTATCTCCTGCAAGATCTTATATATTCCCACAATCTTGTGTCTTTATCAAAGAGGAGCCTTATGGTTAAGTGCTACTCTAACTAGATAGCAATCTATAGCATTGGAGCCCGGAATACACTCGGAGATCTTTTTAAAGAGATTAATATACTCACTGTTGCGTCCCAATATATTTATTGTCATATTTTGTATGTAAGACATAATCTTAATGGTTACCTTAAAAATAGTGACAGACAAATTAAATACTAGAAATAAGGACAAATTAATTACACCATTGTTTCATCTACAAATAAAATCCCACATTCAATATTAAGTCTCCCACTTGATCAATTTAAATGCAAAATTAAAAGTAAACTTATGGCTAAGGCATATTATACCATTGCGGAATATCTTGACAACGCCAATGTGTGGGGTTAATACTGTTGATACTCACATAGGCTAAGACATACCTGTTCTATTACATTGTAAACTAATCCTGTAAAAAAACCTGTTGAGTTTCTTGCCGGTTTCTTTTCAACAGAAACTGCTTTCCGAGCCAGTGTTAACTTACAAACATATTAATTTTTATGTAAAATTTTGACATTTCATAAGAACGCTAAGCGTCTATGTGAATAAATATATTTTTAATTTTGATTTTATCAACTCAAATTCTATAGGGAAAGGGCTATGCTTCCATTCAATTGTCAGTTCCCTCCATGCTTAACATAGCCTTTTTCAAATTTAATAAAGCAAGCAGAAATACAACACGCCTCCGGGCTCTATAAAACACTAGAGGTAGGACAGATGAAGACCACGGCGTGTTGGGGTTGACAGTCTGTTCTGAATTCAAGTTCGTTGTAAGGCCATTTATGAAAATATCATCCGCCATATTAAAAAGAGTTTTTAAAATGTCGGATCTGTGACTCACTAAATTTTTCAAAAAAACTTAATGAATTGTTTTACAATGGATACAAGTATGTAGTCGCTCGCTTTCTATATTTATAATGTTGGCAGTACTGTGTATTGAGTTTTTAAAGTCATATTAGTAAAATGGCGGACTTTCTTAGTGAAAATGACTAGGCTGAAATATATTTTTCTTCTCAAAAACTACGCGTTTCCGCATGTTGAAACTTTGCGTGTGCTTATATTAATGTAATCTTTCTGTAAAAAAAATATCAACCTCCAACTCGGCGGACGTCAATGGAAAACTGTCATGTCTTTTTAATCAGTAATTCTACAATTAATATCTCCGAAACTATTAATTTCCGAAGGTTGAAATTTGACAAATCGTTTTCTTATACTTATGAACCTACAATAAAAATTACAACATCGTAGCTAAATGTACAGATATAAGTGAGTGGCTTATTTCGTAAACAACTTACCCTCTTGCCATTTCTAAACTCTTAATGAGCTTCTTGATCTTCCACATTTCGACATTGCGATTAGCCGACGTTTCTTCGGCCATGTTCATACACCCAAACACTCCGAATAACGGATAAATAATCGAGAGAAAGGGACTCCAACTCGCGCTTCTAACTGCTCAAATCCAGATCGATCGACGATCAGACGAGACGCGACTTCGTTCACACACTTTCTTGTTTACATTTACGTCTTCCGTAGGCTATACTGTACTTCTTGTGTGAGGATTCTTGAATTTTTCTTTATTTTGTTACCCTAAAGTATGTGCGATACAAATATCAGATATTTGAGGATAAAAAGATGTACCTACATAAACGAACGAACACTTCCAGACTCCAGTTCACAGACTACTAGGAAGGATGATACTACGCATGCTCATTGCTCCAGTTCCACCCTTCATCGATCGGAGAAATACTGAAATAGAAAATTAATATTGCTATTCAAAAATATATTTTCAGTGTTTACAGTTCAAAAATCTTTATGTGAAGAAATAATTTGAGGTTTCGTTAATCATTAGATAAACATTTGTAACTTTAAATGAATTAATTATAAACAATTTCAGGCTCTACAAAACAAAAAACACCTTCTATTTACAAAAATATTATATATTTTATACTGAAGGTTGACACTCTTATTCGACCCCGTTGTAAATTTATTTACTGTTTCAGTTTTTGTTCTCTAACCGACACAAATTAAAATGTTACGAAAATAATTGAAATATAATAATAAATCGATGATATATTGCATTATGTTCATGATATGAGATCCCTTGTATTTTGTTAACTTTTAAAGACACACGACGGCAGATTATATATCTATTTTTTGTGACGTGTAGCTTGCTGTTAGCCCGGCGGCTTTGACAGCTTCAGCGGAAGAGCCGCGGGTACCCACGGACTCGGCAGAACAATGAAGCTGGTGCACGAAGTACCCGAAGACGTCGTCCGCTCCGCTGCACTCCGCAACACCCTACTAACGAAAGAAGGACCATCGACTAACAGGGGAGGGCACGACACGATCCAAGGGCCCCTCAGATAGAGTTTCGAACCTCGGCTTGCATCGCAATCAATATTCGGATCTACATTTTGAGAAATTTTGATTTAATCCCGAGACGTATTGGCGTTGCGCTATCGCTTATGAATGAATAATTATACAAACAATTATTTATGAGAGCAATTTTTTACGAGATTTGTTCATCTTTATTAACATGTGTTAACGGTGCAACAATGTTAATAAAAACGATGCTTTCATCGTCTATAAAATATAAGGTTATACAATTAATCACATAGCAATTAAAAGCGCCTACACACTCGTCAATAAATAACAATGACAACACATGAACAATGACAACACATGAATATAAAACGACCAGGCACACGAGTATAGCGCGTGTACGCCGCGAATCTGCGACCCCATATTCACCATCCATTGCGCTGAGCCATATGTTTGTATGTTAGTGCATTGTGTGTTATGTGACGGACTGTGCGCGGAACGATCGCGGCGGATGGCGCCTTATTCGGCGTTACGTCGACGCGGCTACATGGCGCGTTGTCGAGCGCCTCTGACCGTGCTATGCCGTCCAGACATAGCGGCATTGCGTTATCGGGCGGCGGCTGATTATTAAATATATTAATCAAGCGCGTGAGTGAGTCGTCTGGAACGTCTATAACGTTTAGTGTACGGCGTAGTCTCGGATGCACGGTCCGAGGGTGGTCGGGGTAGATTCCGAAAGATTTTACCAAACGGATTTGTATGGGCGTTAATTCTTTTGAAGTGCCTTTTCGACGCTTCTTTAAAGAGGGTGGACAGGGATGTTATATTTCAGTCGCGATGCAAATCGCGGTCCGCGCGTACCACGGTGCGCGACGAAGGAAATTATTTTGATTTTTTATTATGGATTGCTGGTTAGGGGGTCATGTACTGGCCGGAGTCGGTCGTTGTACCATCAGTGGTTTACTCCATGCGTTGACCTTTGGGGTGGGTTAGGTGACGTGCCAAAACAAGGGATACGATACACATGATAAATCCAGTCACGCCGTGATATATAGAACGCGCCTAAGCCAAGGTCGAGGGAGTGTCCTTACGATGCCTTGGGGACGTGGTGCATCTTTAAAGTTTGTCTCACTAAGCTGATGGCTTTATTTTTTCAAAAGCTCAACGCATTAGATCACATTCGATCCTGTGAGGGAAAGAACAATTTCTGCGAGTAAGGATTCCCCTAACTATAGCCAAGGCAGACGCCGTGTTAAAATACAAACGAAGAAATCGCCAAAACGCTGATCTATGAAATTATAACAAAAGTGCGCTTGGCTACATCAATTGCCTAAACATTTATTAGTAATAATTATAAATTCCATTAATAAATAGTCAGTTAACAGCGACTGCTGGTCTAGAGTACATGACCAAATAAGCCTGAGGAGTACAACGGGTCACGCCAAGATCAAAGTAAAAGTAAACAAGGGGTTAGGTGACGTGCCAAAACAAGGGATACGATACACATGATAAATCCAGTCACGCCGTGATATATAGAACGCGCCTAAGCCAAGGTCGAGGGAGTGTCCTTACGATGCCTTGGGGACGTGGTGCATCTTTAAAGTTTGTCTCACTAAGCTGATGGCTTTATTTTTTCAAAAGCTCAACGCATTAGATCACATTCGATCCTGTGAGGGAAAGAACAATTTCTGCGAGTAAGGATTCCCCTAACTATAGCGAAGGCAGACGCCGGGTTAAAATACCAAGAAATAAATGGCCAAAACGCTGATCTATGAAATTATAACAAAAGTGCGCTTGGCTAAATACATTGCTGAATTCGCCCATGCTTAAAAAATAAAACAAACAGAAAGCAAACAAAGCCCGTGGAAAAACAAATTCAGATGGTCCGCAGCATCAGATGAACATCGGAATGCGTGTCAACCGGCTGGCTCAGTTGGCAGGTCTTCAGCGAGAAGGCGACGTAGTCGAACGGGTACTGCATCTGGCGCTGCCGGAAGCGCCCGAGTATTCACGCCCCAGCTCGTGGAAGTTGGACTCGCAGTTGACGATACGCCGTCGTAACTCTGCAAGTGACACTGTGCTTAGCTACCGTCTTCTGCAGGTGTGAGGGCATACAGATGTTTGATGCTGTATGGGTAAGGGTGTGTTTGTCTGTGGGGGTAATAAACCCTTTTGAAGCAAGTGCACATACTTAACTTTTAAAAATAAATAATGTCAAATTCGATGGACATATCCAGTGCATCCTCATTCATTAGCTAAGTTGTGGTATATTCACAATATTCATATATATATAGGATATAGGAATGTAATAGGATTTACTCATTGTTTTGTTATTGATATGTGGATGTATAATATTATGTACATGACATTGTAATTTTTTATGAAACAATTATAAATTTATGGAATAATATTAACGCTCTATGAAATAATTCGGATTGAACCCAAGATGTAAATCCGCAATAGACGATGTAAAAACAAATAGTTATTATGACTCAAACAAAGAAGATTAATATTCGCAATGCGGAATGATGAGACCAAGTCTTTATATCCAAATCTTACCCGTGTTTCTACATTTCTGTGCCTCCCATACTTCCTCTTGTGCGGAAGCCATTCTTATTTGAAAACTTAACGTTTAAAAATAAATAATTTCAAAATTAAAAAAAGAACTTAACCGGCGAACAAAGGACAAAGAAAGGTATAAATAGGGTGGACTTCAGACTCAGAAATCAATAATTGCGACGTGCGCGTCGACCCAGATGCGCAGCTTGTTATTATATTTTTTCTTACTATAATTTAACGGCTTAGGTTTTCTCTATACAGCCTGTTCATTATTACAGGTACATTGTAAAATATTATCCTTCATAAAATATTCTTTTAGCGCGTTAGGGAAATATAATGAGGGTGAATTTTTAGTATGTGCGACAACTAAAAGCGACACCAACTTCATGGTGTTACCGTGACACCCGAATAACATCTTTACGACATTTAACTACATATTATAAGAAAAAAAAAATTACTAATGTCTACTTGTTGGCACTGGTATTGCAAGAGACGATGGCAAGAGAACGGACGGTATGAATTTGAATCCATGGAAGATGGGCCGGGTGCTGGTATGGGATGCAACCTGTTCAGACACGCTGGCCCCTTTCCCCTCTACAAGGAACCAACAACAGAGCTGGTGCGACTTGTGAAGCGGCAGAAAAAGCTAAAGCTTGCTAATACTATGGTTATATAATAATTATATCTAGGCTCCGAATATGATTTTGTCCCATTCGGTGTCGTGATCCTTGGTCCGTGGGGTTCTAGCGCTATAAGGCTTTTTAAGGAAATAGCAAAAAGGTTAGTCGATATCACAGGCGACCGAAGAGCTGGCAGCTACCTCGGACAAAGAATAAGTCTAGTTATTCAAAGGGGGAACGCTGCCAGTATCTTCGGAACCTTAAGGTCCTATAGGGACTCCTTTTAATAATATATTTTAGTTATTATATTATATATTTTTTAAGGCTTTTAGTTTTAGGTTAATTGCTCTACTGTATATTTTGTATAAGTTTGTCATTTTAATGTTATATGTAAAGTTAATAGATTGAAAATGGTTGTATTAAATTTTCAATATATATAGAAAATATGAATCCCTATTTCCCTTAGTCACGCCATCACGAGTGAATGGCTGGACCGATTTCACTTTTTTTATTGTGTTTATTATTATCAGGAAAAGGTTTTTATGAAAGAAAAATTTTAAAAGTTACCTGTAAAAGTCTAAAAACAATACTTTTCTATATACCCGTACAAAAGATTCTTAATTAGTCAATTTGAAACTTAATTATGTGTTAGTGGAGGGGTTCCGGGAAGGCAAAACAAGTGACTGAGGTAAAATGTCACTTGAAATGTAAACGTCTCTTTGCTGTGCATCACTACATAGTATAAAACAAAGTCGTCTCCCTGTCTGTCTGTCCCTACGTATGCTTAGATCTTTAAAACTACACAACGGATCTTGATGCGGTTTTTTTATTAGATAGTAGAAGTGATTCAAAAAGAAAGCGGAATGCATAATACATTGCACCCGTGCGAAGCCGGGGAGGGTCGGTAGTAATAAATAATTACATTAGTACTTCCCACGTTTAAGTAATCACTTAAATTTTTACGAATATGTAACATTTTGTTTGGGTTACTTAATTTATTTTTCATGAAATACTAATTAATAGACATAACATCTAATATGTAATTTTAATTAGTTTTGATATGGAAATATTAAATAAATAAATATCTTAGCCCAGTGGTGCATTCGTCTGAACTCTTATTCGACCCCGTTTTAAATTGATTTGCTGTCCCTGTTTTTGTTCTCTAACCTACAAAAAAATTAAATGTTAGGAAAATAATTGAAATGTTCTAATGAAACGATGATATACTGCATTACGTACATGATATGAGATCCCTCGTAATTTGTTTACTTTAGAATCATACTTGGTACGTATTTTAAAGACACACGAGGGCAGATTATATATTAACCGAATGCTGAACTCCTTGTCACTTAGCTTAAAAAAGAAGTCAAAGCCGATTAATTCCGAATTTTCATTAAAAGGAATAATTGTTTTAGGTTTCTTTTGCTGCCTCCAGTGTAGTATACATTAAAGGTGAGTCGTACAAGTTAAAAACCCGTACTAAGTCTTACAAGTATAAGTACGTTGCAAAGACTAGGTTCATGAGTATTCGAATTTGTGCATGGCCAAAAAGCACCCTGAACTTCATTTTGCTTTAATCATTTAACGTGGTAAACGATACCTCTGAGATATACTAGCAGATTTCTTGAACTCACTCAGTCTCAGTGTCTTCGCCGATGTGATTGTCACGTCGGATTTATAGACTTATACGCCAATGTTACGTGTCCGCCGCCATCTGGACAAAACCCTTCTACTTGTAGATATTTGAAGTGAAGATAAGGATTACGGGTGTGATAATAAAACACGGGTTAGCTGCCTAAACATTTATTAATAACAATTATAAATGCCATTATCAAATAGACAGTTAAAAGCTGTAGTTAACAGCGACTGCTGGTCTAGAGTACATGACCAAATAAGCCTGAGGAGTACAACGGGTCACGCCAAGATCAAAGTGAAAGTAAACAAGGGGTTAGGTGACGTGCCAAAACAAGGGATACGATACACATGATAAATCCAGTCACGCCGTGATATATAGAACGCGCCTAAGCCAAGGTCGAGGGAGTGTCCTTACGATGCCTTGGGGACGTGGTGCATCTTTAAAGTTGGTCTCACTAAGCTGATGGCTTTATTTTTTCAAAAGCTCAACGCATTAGATCACATTCGATCCTGTGAGGGAAAGAACAATTTCTGCGAGTAAGGATTCCCCTAACTACAGCCAAGGCGGACGCCGTGTTAAAATACAAACGAAGAAATCGCCAAAACGCTGATCTATGAAATTATAACAAAAGTGCGCTTGGCTACATCAATTGCCTAAACATTTATTAGTAATAATTATAAATTCCATTAATAAATAGTCAGTTAACAGCGACTGCTGGTCTAGAGTACATGACCAAATAAGCCTGAGGAATACAACGGGTCACGCCAAGATCAAAGTAAAAGTAAACAAGGGGTTAGGTGACGTGCCAAAACAAGGGATACGATACACATGATAAATCCAGTCACGCCGTGATATATAGAACGCGCCTAAGCCAAGGTCGAGGGAGTGTCCTTACGATGCCTTGGGGACGTGGTGCATCTTTAAAGTTTGTCTCACTAAGCTGATGGCTTTATTTTTTCAAAAGCTCAACGCATTAGATCACATTCGATCCTGTGAGGGAAAGAACAATTTCTGCGAGTAAGGATTCCCCTAACTATAGCCAAGGCAGACGCCGTGTTAAAATACAAACGAAGAAATCGCCAAAACGCTGATCTATGAAATTATAACAAAAGTGCGCTTGGCTACATCAATTGCCTAAACATTTATTAGTAATAATTATAAATTCCATTAATAAATAGTCAGTTAACAGCGACTGCTGGTCTAGAGTACATGACCAAATAAGCCTGAGGAGTACAACGGGTCACGCCAAGATCAAAGTAAAAGTAAACAAGGGGTTAGGTGACGTGCCAAAACAAGGGATACGATACACATGATAAATCCAGTCACGCCGTGATATATAGAACGCGCCTAAGCCAAGGTCGAGGGAGTGTCCTTACGATGCCTTGGGGACGTGGTGCATCTTTAAAGTTTGTCTCACTAAGCTGATGGCTTTATTTTTTCAAAAGCTCAACGCATTAGATCACATTCGATCCTGTGAGGGAAAGAACAATTTCTGCGAGTAAGGATTCCCCTAACTATAGCGAAGGCAGACGCCGGGTTAAAATACCAAGAAATAAATGGCCAAAACGCTGATCTATGAAATTATAACAAAAGTGCGCTTGGCTAAATACATTGCTGAATTCGCCCATGCTTAAAAAATAAAACAAACAGAAAGCAAACAAAGCCCGTGGAAAAAAAACAAATTCAGATGGTCCGCAGCATCAGATGAACATCGGAATGCGTGTCAACCGGCTGGCTCAGTTGGCAGGTCTTCAGCGAGAAGGCGACGTAGTCGAACGGGTACTGCATCTGGCGCTGCCGGAAGCGCCCGAGTATTCACGCCCCAGCTCGTGGAAGTTGGACTCGCAGTTGACGATACGCCGTCGTAACTCTGCAAGTGACACTGTGCTTAGCTACCGTCTTCTGCAGGTGTGAGGGCATACAGATGTTTGATGCTGTATGGGTAAGGGTGTGTTTGTCTGTGGGGGTAATAAACCCTTTTGAAGCAAGTGCACATACTTAACTTTTAAAAATAAATAATGTCAAATTCGATGGACATATCCAGTGCATCCTCATTCATTAGCTAAGTTGTGGTATATTCACAATATTCATATATATATAGGATATAGGAATGTAATAGGATTTACTCATTGTTTTGTTATTGATATGTGGATGTATAATATTATGTACATGACATTGTAATTTTTTATGAAACAATTATAAATTTATGGAATAATATTAACGCTCTATGAAATAATTCGGATTGAACCCAAGATGTAAATCCGCAATAGACGATGTAAAAACAAATAG